GGCAGTAATTCTCAACGTGTACACATACTGGTGTGTCAGTCATTTGTAAAATGGGACACAGGTAATACACAAGAGCAGTAGTCAAAATGAACCCAAGTATTTTTCAGTGTGATGTCTTCCCTTTTTGAGTATAGCTTCAAGATTCTCCCTGTATCAGTGTCCTATATTTCTTCTAACAGGTCTTACTGAATAGAAGGCAAGAAAGGTAAAGTTGTACCTGGTGTGCTAGGCATTTTGCTGAGCACTTTGTGTGACACTGAGGATACTGTGATGGGGAGTATGCCCATAGGAGAGTGTGTCCAACAGAATGTTTCATCCATCACGTTGTGTAGTGAGAATCATGGGCTTATGTTAACAGCTTAGCAAAGGTGGGTGCACCAACCTTGATGGCAGAGATACTTCAATAGTGCAGACAGAGGAAACAGTGCTGACACGTGCTGTTATCTTTTATTGTATATAATAGGAAAATAAATCTCAGGATGGGCAAAACCTTGCTATTAGTTTCTATTAAAGTATAAATTAGCAGGCTGAGAAGGCACTCCATGAAATGCAAAGGTTGACACTCAGAAGAAGGAGCTAATCGAATATGACCTTCAAATTAGACTTTCCCTTTAGAATATAATAAAAGCAGGAAAAGAAAAGTGACCTCAAGTTGAAGAGTTATGCTGCTAAAAATTAAAATCAAGTCACAGTTTTAGGATAGAGACATGGGAATTTGCAAAAGAAGATATTTCTTACACCTGCCTAAAAGCAAGTTAGGTGCAAAGTCACCTTGAGAAAGAACCAAAAGTCAGCTCTGCTTTAAAGTCTGGGTCCCAAGCTGAATATTACTTCTTAAAAAGAGAAAAACACTTAATATATTCATAGTTAAAGCAACTTTTTTTCCCCATTTTTATTTTGTGAAATTTGTCAATTTTCCTGATAGATTTTGGCTTCAGTGCTGTTTAGGACGCCTTTTCCTGTCATAAAATAGCAAAATATTCTCACTTGTTTGTTATCACATAATTTTGATTTTCAGATCTAACTGATTAATGCAGTCATAATTGATTTTGTGTACATGTGGTGAGAAGTGAGAAACTCATGATTTTCTTTCCAGATAGGAAGCTGGTTATTCCAACCAAAGGGTTATGTCCTCCCTTTGTTGATTAGACATGCTTTCATTATCATTGTTAAATTTATGTATACCTTTGTAAATTTTCTATAGATTCTTAAGAGAATGATTGCTTCTTAGTTGAAACAAAGATAGATAGATACACAGAGATGATAGAAACACAGAGATAAATCATGATCCTCTACAGCCTTACTCACAGTGATTGACTTATTTTGACAACTTAGGAAAGACATTTTTCCTCCAGTATAAAGTCTCAATTTGGTTTTCCATTTTTATTGGTCTCAGCTTCTATATTTCAAAGCCATGTGGTGGAATGCATGAAGATTCAAGACAGTTATATGTGCTGGAGGAATTAAAATGTTTATCAATTTTAAGTATCCCCCTTTATACATTCCTGAAGTCTTATTTTGTTTGTTTATAATACTTACATCCTTGCCACTTTAAAAATAAATTCCTTAACATCTTACACATCCCAACAATGGAAACAGTGAGCGACTATTTTGGGAGGGCTCCAAAATCACTGCAGATGGTGACTGCAGCCATGAAATTAAAAGATGCTTGCTCCTTGGAAGAAAAGTTATGACCAACCTAGACAGCATATTAAAAAGCAGAGACATTACTTTGCCAACAAAGGTCCATCTAATCAAAGCTATGGTTTTTCCAGTAGTCATGTATGGATGTGAGAGTTGGACTGTAAAGAAAGCTGAGGACTGAAGAATTGATGCTTTTGAACTGTTGTGTTGGAGAAGACTCTTGAGAGTCCCTTGGATTGCAAGGAGATCCAACCAGTCCATCCTAAAGGAAATCAGTCCTGAGTGTTCATTGGAAGGACTGATGCTGAAGCTGAAACTCCAATACTTTGGTCACTAATGCAAAGAACTGACTCATTTGAAAAGACCCTGATGCTGGGAAAGATACAAGGCAGGAGGAGAAGGGGACAACAGAGGATGAGATGGTTGGATGGCATCACTGACCCAATAGACATGAGTTTGAGCAAGCTTTGGGAGTTTGTGATGGACAGGGAAGCCTGGGGTGCTGCAGTCCATGGGGTCACAAAGAGTTGGACACAACTGAGCAACTGAACTGAACTGAACATCCATTATAAACAGCTTATGGCTGGATTTTTTTTTTCTGTAATGTAAGATTTTATAAATTAGTACAGTTCTTTCGCATCTATACAAACCATTTTTTGTGTACATTTTCTATTTGTCTTTTTGTTTGTCTGTTTCATTATTTACCCTGTTAGCCCTGTCTTCATTTAGATTGATAGTACATCCTTTACTTCTTCTTATTCCCTGTGTTTCTACATTCTAACTGATATTCTTCTGTAAAGTGGACACTTAATTTTTGGTAAATCTCTTTAAAATATTCATCCAATTTTGTTTAAAATTAATTGCATGCTTTAAACTATCTATGCCTCAAATAAAAAAAGACCTTTGGCAAAATTTTATTGACCTAAACTAACCCTCTCAAACAGCTCTATGACTTACTACAGTTATAGGCATATTGTAAATGTCATCTACTTTCCTGGCAGTTGTATTCTTTAAAATTCCTTAGACATCATCAGTATATAATTATCAATGATAATTATCAAAGAGCATGATCTTTGCTCACTACTCTATTAATCCCTATTGTTGTTCAGTCGCTCAGTCGTGTCTGACTCTGCAACACCATGGACTGCAGCACACCAAGTTTCCCTGTCCTTCACTATCTCTCAGTGTTTGCTCGAAGTCATGTCCATTGAGTTGATAATCCACCCAACCATCTTATCCTCTGTGGCCCACTTCTCCTCCTACCCTCAATCTCAATCCCTGTGCCGTCCACCATATTGAATTCTTTTTGTTTAATGTATTCATTAGTTTGCTCATGGCCACCATAACAAAACACTTTCTCCAACAGTATATACCCAACCTGTGTGTCTTGGGTATGCAAGTCTGCACCAGTAACTCCTAACATAACGACTGACTGGGCTTTTCATGGAATTCTTTGATTAATTATAAGCTGGTGACACATGCATAGATTCTTCTCTATGCTGTCATCTCTTACAGTTATTCCAGAATTCTGCTGGGAGCAGTCAATTTTGGGTTTTTTTCACTTGTGGATGTTTGCAAATTCCTCAGTTTTGTTTATGTAATTTCAATCAACAGTTTCCATTTAATTTAAAGCTTCCAGAAAGAACTTACTATTTTTGTACATTGGTAGATGTGCTCCTAATTTTCCAGTGTTTCTGGGGATGGAAACATTTTTGAGGTGTATAGATAACGTATGTTTTCAGTTAGCCATCAGAACCAGAAACCATTTTTCCAAATATTTACAATTCTTCAAAATACACTAAAAAAGTAAATCAAATAATAATTCCATTTTTTTTCCTGTTTGTAGTTTTACAGTCTAAAACTTCCTTCATTTGGAGGGAAGATGCTTTGAAGGCATTTTGAAGGTAGTCTGTACAGTGATATTACTAATTGGGATTAATAAAAAAACCTTGGAGGTATCAGGCTAACATTGAATGCTACATAGGTCTTTCTGCTATTAAGAGGCACTTTAATTCTGATTACTCCTAAATAGTCTCTCTCTCTTTCAAGGAGTGTGAAATTAATGTTGTAGTTCAGTTCAATTCGGTCGCTCAGTTGTGTCTGACTGTTTGTGACCCTATGGACTGCAGCACACCAGGCCTCCCTGTCCATCACCAACTCCCAGAGCTTACTCAGACTCATGTCAGTTGAGTTGGTGATGCCATCCAACCATCTCATCCTCTGTTGTACCCTTCTCTTCCCACCTTCAATCATTCCCAGCATCGGGGTCTTTTCCAGTGAGTCAGTTCTTCACATCAGATGGCCAAAGTATTGGAGTTTCAGCTTCAGCATCAGTCCTTCCAATGAATATTCAGGACTGATTTCCTTTAGGATGGACTGGTTGGATCTCCTTGCAGCCCAAGGGACTCTCAAGAGTCTTCTCCAACACAACAGTTCAAAAGCATCCATTCTTCAGCACTCGGCTTTCTTTGTAATCCAACATTCACATTCATACAAGACTATGGAAAAGCTACAGTTTTGACTAGACAGACCTTTGTTGGCAAAGTAATGGCTCTGCTTTTTAGTATGCTGTCTAGGTTGGTCATAACTTTTCTTCCAAGAAGTAAGCGTCTTTTAATTTCATGGCTGCCGTCACCATCTGCAGTGATTTTGGAGACCCCAAAATAAAATCTGTCACTGTTTCCACTATTTCCCCATCTATTTGCCATGAAGTGATGGGACCAGATGCCATGATCTTAGTTTTCTGAATGTTGAGTTTTAGGTCAACTTTTTCATTCTCCTCTTTCACTTACATCAAGAGGCTCCTTAGTTCTTCCTTGTTTTCTGCCATAAGGATGGTGTCATCTGCATATCTGAGGTTACTGATATTTCTCCCAGTAATCTTGATTGCAGCTTGTGCTTCATCCAGTCCAGCATTTCTCATGATGTACTCTGCATATAAGCTAAATAAGCAGGGTGACAATATACAGCCTTGAAGTATTCCTTTCCTGGTTTGGAACCAGTCTGTTGTTCCATGGTTTTTTGTTTTGTTTTTTTTTAAGTGGTGAAAAATTCTGGTTGCACGCCTCTTCCAGCTTTTTAGAGACTTGAAATAGTTCACTTTGGGTTCATATCTAAGTTGGTATACAGAAATCAATATGACAAAACTAAACAAAGGTCTGATTCACCAAATAAAATATAACATCCATAGGCAACCATGCTTAAATATATATATATATATAAAGTATTGTTATTGTCTTGTCACAATCCCAGACTCCATTCTTTCATTGACAACCTGGATGTCTGTGTTCCTTTAATACCTAAACCACAAAGAGTTGATTTTTTTTTTTTCTGTTTGTTTTCTTCCCTATTGTTAGGTGTATATTGTTGACGAATCTGGATTAAACATCCTCATGTGGTCGGTGATTGGCAATAAACGAACTGGTTGGATGTACGGACATGTTCCTCTCTCGAGCAATAGTCCATTTAAAGTGGCATTTGAAGCTGATTTGAGTGGAGAAGAGAACATCTTTATTGCCATTGATGACATCTCTTTTACCCCAGAATGTGTATTTGGAGGTAAGCAATTCCTTCTGAAAATGTGGGCTGTACAAAGATTGTTTTAGATATCTAAATATAAAAGAATTGGGAATTTCTGAGGAATTGTATTTCTTTTCATGTCCAGTCTTACTTATACATTGTAGAAAGAGCAGTATACACAGCTGGAGGTAAAGTTTTTCTCTCCATGAAACTTTATCATGAAATTTCCATGCCCTCTAGGCAACAAAGTAGCTTTGACTAAAGTTCTTTAAGAAACTCAGTGAAAATTTAGTTTTCTCAATATAGCTTTGTTGTCTATATATATATTTTTAATTTCCAAAGGGTCACAGCAACTGCACAAAGACTGTTCTGTTCACCTGTCTCTTCCATCCAGATTAACTTTTCCCCTTCTGTTTCAACATTACAATCTAGAACTCTTATGCTATTGCATAAAGGAAAAAAAGTCTTGTCATTAACTCCTTTTCTAAAAAATCATACCTTTAACAAAAATCTAAGTTTCTGAAGTTTAAGAGGCTTCCACTTAAGTGGCTATTTGTTCTCATATAAATCCTTCACTTTATCAACATTAGAGAGTAGGATCATTGCCTTTCAAACTGTCCATTAATTTTGTATGTTGCAACTTTGCTGCATTTATTTATTATCTCCAACAGGGAATTCTTTTGGTGAAGTCTACAGGGTTTTCTATGTATACTATCACATTACCTGCAAATAATAGCAGTTTTACTTCTTCCATTCCCATGTGGATGCCATTTACTTTTTTCCCCCCTGATTGCTGTGGCTAAGACTTCAATATTATATTGAATAAAAGTAGACAGAGTGGGCATCCTTGTCTTGTTCCTGATCTTTTTGGAGGTAAAGCGTTTATCCTCTCATCATTAGGTATAACATCAGCTGTGGGTTTGTCCTCTATGGACTTTATTATGTTGATGTACATTTCTTCTATATCTTCTTTGGGAAAGTTCTTATCAAAAAATGGATGTTGATTTTACCAAATGCTTTTTATGCATTTATGGAGATGATCATATGATTTTTATCCTTTATTCTGTTTATATGGTGTATCACAATGACTGACTTTCAGATTTTCAGTCATCCTTCAACCCCTAGAAGATATCCCAGTTGATGATGACATACAGTCTTTTTAATGTGTTGTTTAATTTGGTCTGCTAATATTTCATGGGAGATTTTTCATTCATCTTCACCAGGAATATTGACTTGTAATTTTCTTTCCTTGTGGTGTCCTTATTTTGTTTATGTATATAATTCTGACCTCACAGAATGAGTTTGCAAGTGTTCTCTCCTCTTCTGTTTTTGGAAGAGTTTGGCAAGTACTGATATTAGTTCTTATTTGAATGTTTTGTAGAACTCACCTGTGAAGCCTTCTTATGCTGGACTTCAGTGTGTTGGAAGATTTTTAATTACTGATTCAATCTCTTTACTAGCAACCATCAGCTCAGATTTTCTGTTTCTTCCTGAACCAGTCTTAGAAGGTTGTGTTTCTGAGAATCAATCCGTTTCTTCTAGATTGTCCAGTTTATTTGAGTATAATTGTATGTATAATTGTATTATCTTTTTTTTCTGTGTTATCAGTTATAACATCCCCTCTTTCATATATGATTTTATCTGAGTCCTCTCTTTTCCTTGGTGAGTCTAGCTAAAGATTTGTCATTTTGTTTATCATTTCAAAGAACCAGCTCTTGATTTCACTGATCTTTCCTTTTGTGCTTTTAGTCTCTATTTCATTTATTTCTGCTCTAATCTTTGGTATTTCCTTCCTTCCACTAACTTTGGGCGTTTTTAGTTATTCTTTTTGAACAATCTTTCCAGCTACATTTTTTTTTGTTGTTGTTGTCGTTAAATTGAAAGAAAATAGATCTTCGGGGAGTGAATGCAATTCCAAAAAAAAGAAATATTATCCCGGGACATCCCTTTTAACTTGACTCGGTAAATATAAAATGACAGCAACTAGCAAGATGCCAAACAAAATAACAAAATTCATAAGGAATTCATGGGGAATAGGCAGCCACAAGGTCTCCTTGTTTATATTATCACTGTGACACAATGACAGTAGCTCTCACCTCATTCTTGAGTAGAGATGTTCCTTCTTTTTTTCCCTTCTCTGGATATGAACAGAAAGTATTACTCTGGAGCATTTCCAGGACTGGTATATGCTCTTGAATGCAGATTCTTTAAAAATGGAAATATTTGTCTGTTTTCATCATCTTCATCATTTATATGATCTCTAGTGATATATTCTGCATGCTTAGAAGAGTCCTGTTATATAGGAGGTACTCAATACACATACCCTATGAATAAACAATGAATATGTCAAATGAAAAGATGAATAAGTAAAAGTTATCAACTGAATTTACATGATACCCCTCTTCACTACCACCAGTGAACTCTGCCTCGAGTCTTATTCTCTAACCCTGTTTTGGAAAAAGGAAAGAGATAGCGACAGACAGAGCTATGTGATTTGCCCAATGTACTCTGTGTGACTGTATTGAGAGATAGAAAGAACAATTTTACTAAAAATTTGGAGACATGAGTCTAAATCATGACTGTATCAGCAAACTCATATAATTTTACAAGAAATTTAAACTCCTTAGATCATGTTATATCATCAGGGAGATGGAATAAACAATGTCTTCTCTCTCTTTTAAGTCTACTCTCTTATGATCATATGGGACAGGATTTGTAAAAGAGGATCAGGAAAGCAGAAGGAAGGGATAGAGAATGATCTAGAAAAGAAGAGAGTCCAGAGAGGATGATGAGGAAGTTTAGAGGGTCTAGGACTTAAAACAGAAACGCCATTGTGGGAAGACATAGAGGACTTCTCATTACTTGCTGTATTTATAAACTTGAGTAAGTCTGCCCTTTATTTAACCAAAAGTGAAGGGAAAGTTGCTCTGTTGCATCCAATTCTTTGTGACCTCATGGACCATATAGTCCATTGAATTTTCCTGGGCAGAATACTGGAGTGGGTAGCCGTTCCCTTCTCCAGGGGATCTTCCTGATCCAGGAATTGAACTGAGGTCTCCTGCATTGCAGGCAGATTCTTTACAAGCTCAGCTACCAGGGAATCCCATGTAACTAAAGTTTACTGTGCATCTACTGTGTGCTGCCCTGAACTTAAATTGAAAGACAGATGTGCCTATAATATTATTGCCAGTTCTCCAGAAGCTTAATATCTAAGGACATATTGGGATAGCACTGCATCCTTGGAAGCTTAAAATAGTAGTAAATGTAATTGAAACTCTCTTACCTCTAAACTATGGTTCTAAGACAATTTCATTTGACTTGAAGGCAGTATTAGGCATAGAGGAGTAGTTTACTGAACCATCAATGAATATTCCTGAGAAATATTCAGTGGTGTGCTAGTAAACTAGCTCTCAAGAGAAAAAAAAGCCCCGTGTGTAGCATTTTCCTATTTCCTTGGTGTCAATTCTGCAGCATGGTTAATTGTAATTTACCAGTATGACATCACTGCAGGTTGGTGGGTTTAAGAAGAAAAGCATGCCCTCTTTTTCTTTACATAGGCTGCTCTACACACACGTCAGAGGAAGGATCCTCACAGTTAATGGTGTTCGTTTCCTACCAACACCACACAGGAGTGAAGACCACAACAGTGGTCCAGGGTAAAGAATCAGTTCAGTTGACTTGCTGTTGTATCTGACTCTTTGTGAACCCATAGACTGCAGCACACCAGGCTGCCCTGTCCATCACCAATGCCTGGAGCTTACTCAAAGTCATGTCCATTGAGTTGGTGATGCCATCCAACTATCTTGTCCTCTGTCATCCCTTTCTCCTCCTGCCTTCATCATTTCCCAGCATCAGTGTCTTTTCTAATGAGTCAGGTTTTGCATCATGTGGCCAGATTATCAGAACTTTAGCTTCACATCAGTCCTTCCAATGAATATTTAGGACTAATTTCCTTTAGGACTGACTGGATTGATCTCCTTGCTGTCCAAGGGACTCTCAAGAGTCTTCTCTAACACCACAGTTTGAAAGCATCAATTCTTCAGTCCTCAGCTTTCTTTATGGTCCAACTCTTACATCCATCCTTGACTACTGGGAAAACAGTGGCTTTGACTAGACACACCTTTGTTGGCAAAGTAATGTCCCTGCTTTTTAATATGCTGTCTAGGTTAGTCACAGTTTTTATTCAAAGGAACAAGCATCTTTTAATTTCATGGCTACAGTCACCATCTGCAGTGATTTTGGAGCCCAAGAAAATAAAGCCTCCCGCTATTGCCATTGTTTTCCCATCTATTTGTCATGAAGTGATGGGACCAGATTCCATGATCTTAGTTTTTTGGATGTTGAGTTTTAAGCCAGTTTTTTTCACTCTCCTCTTTCACTTTCACCAAGAGGCTCTTTAGTTCCTCTTTGCTTTCTGCCATAAGGGTGGTGTCATCTGCATATCTGAAGTTATTGACATTCTGCCTGCAGTCTTGATTCTAGTTTGTGCTTCATCCAGCCTGACATTTCACATGATGTGCTCTGCATGTAAGTTAAATAAGCAGGGTGACAATATACAGCCTCGATGTACTCCTTTCCAATTTGGAACAAGTCCATTGTTCCATGTCCAGTTCTAACTGTTGCTTCTTGACCTGCATACAGGTTTCTCAGGATGCAGGTAAGGTGGTCTGATATTGCCATCTCTTTAAGAATTGTCCACAGTTTGTTGTGATCTACACAATCAAAGGCTTTAGAATAGTCAAGAAAACAGAAGTAGATGTGTTTCTGGAACTCTCTTGCTTTTTTGATGATACAACAGATGATGGCAGTTTGATCTCTGGTTCCTCTGCCTTTTCTAAATCTAGCTTGAACATCTGGAAATTCATGGTACATGTACTATTGAATCCTAGCTTGCATAATTTTGAGCATTACTTTGCTAGTGTATGAGATGAATGCAGTTGTGTGGTAGTTTGAACATTCTTTGGCATTGCCTTTCTTGGGGACTGAAATGAAACTGACCTTTTCTCTTCCTGTGGCCACTGCTGAGTTTCCCAAATTTG